TAGTGAGTACAACTCCTCCACGCTTACTTCAACGTCATCCTCCCATCTATCAGACCATACATACATATATACTATTATATTCTTAGAGATTATTCTCCGTTCATCATCTGAAGATGATAGTGCAACTCATAGGGACCGACTCATTCATCCGCCAGATTCTCCTATGAACCTATCACTTATCAAATCCTCCACGGGATCAATTATAACCATCGCATCAAGCGAGGTTCTGCAGATCCTACACGGGATCAAATATAACCATCGCATCAAGCGAGGTTCTGCAGATCCTACACGGGATCAAATATAATACACAGCCACTAGGAATGATGTTATACCATTCTACCCTAGTGCACCCATCAATCACACCTCATTCGGAATACTCCTAACGCACTACAATATTGTTTGTGCCTCATTAGGAACGATATCACGTCATCCTACCCAATTGAGCCCGCAACTAGGAATGATATCACCTCATTCTACCCTAGTGTAATCCACTTCGACACTACGTTCACTACTCAATGCCCACATAATCCTATTATGTTCTCATACATTCATATTATCATGCCAACGGCAACGAACTCGATCATCTCATCATGCCATCCTATTCGATCTAGCGATTGCATAAAATTGCCGATTGGCCACACTCACGCTTCACAAACCATAAACTAGGATTCACGCCATTCGACTACCCACAGCACCTCACGGGCCAGCATACCCACTTTTAAATCGAGGGAAGGTCGATCGCAATCAGGGTCCCAAGCCACAATAGTACACAACAGGAGAGAAACTCATTCTGCTACGTTCGCTACACGCCCGCCTAGCGAGCTACTAGCGAACGTTCGCTACCTCCTCGCCTAGCGAACTGCTAGCGAGTGCAAACAGAACCTCCAAACATTGCTCGCTACCTCGTTCGCCACAGCGAACCCCCAGCGAGCTCTTCGCTACTCCCTTCTCTACTAGCGAAAGGCTACAATACCATTCTGTCCCAAGTCTGGGACCGTTCGCTACGCACTCGCCTAGCGAGATGCTAGCGAACATTCGCGACTTGCTCGCCTAGCGAGCTGCTAGCGAGCGTCTGCGAACAGAACTTCTCCCCACTGTTCAGAATTCGAAACAGCCGATAAATTCACTCGATAATTCTCCACTTACTCCAGTAATCATAACCTAACGTTTCCCGACATAAATCCTACCACTTATTCTCATCTTCATTAAACAAAGCTAGATTTCTACCGATCGAATCAATTTCGACCTAAAACGGAAATTATAGGAAACTCTCCAAAACCCTAACTCAATCAACCATACACATACATAATCATACATATTGATTTAGATAGTAAGATTTCACACCCTTACCTTGGATTAATCGAAGCTTTGAGCTGTTCTTGATGATCCCACACTTTTCTTCTTCTTCTTCTCTTTTCTCCTCCTTTTCCTTCTTTCTCTTTTCTTTCCTTCCTTTTCTCTTATGTTTCTTTTCTCTTCTATTTCTCTTTTAATATCCTTCTCATTATTTCTCCAAAACATCTATTAATTTAATATCCCATAAAATATCTCACTTATCATTAAATAGGAAATGTCCAAAATACCCTCCAAACTATTTTCCCCGAAAACTCTCAAAATCGGTTAAAATAGAATAATATGTAAACTTAACATATTTCCACACAAATTCCATATCAAAAATAATATTCGTCCAATTAAATTAAGTAGGGACTCGATAAAAGAGACAATCGAAATCGGGGCGTTACAAAGACCAGGACGTGGTCTTCGCCCTAGTTCAACTGTCCCGTGATCTTCGAAAAGTGAGTTTAACCTGCTCTTTCAGAGGTGAGCAGTTGGTTGGTGACGTGTCCCCGCAGAGGGGAGCACGTGGAGAACGTGTGAAAGACACGTTGTTCTGCTCGACCAGGGAGAAGGTTCTGCCCGCGGAGGGGCCATTCTACCCGACGGAAGACATGTGCTCGACAGATGTAGCCCAAGTTGGATTGGGCCTAACTGAATATCATTGGGATGGGCCTGCCCGGTCAAGCCGGGGCCCAGGCCAGAACACATGTGTACCTCGAACGATTTAAGTATCTGCTTTAATGGCTAAAACTATAATCTTATGACATCTTCAATAGAAGGATATGATAATGGGGTTTTAACGATTTGAAGGTTTGAAGAACAAAATGAAGTTTTGAAAGAGACACGGAGGACTGAAGAAGACAATGAACAAGTTCAAGAACCATATTGATTTTCTATTTTTTTTTCCCAGCTTTTTATAACGATTATAAATTGTTTTCTTTGATAAAAAAGTGTCTTTGATAAAGAAGTGTTTTTAATATATTTATAATTAAAATATTCATTTGGATTTTAAAATATTTTGAATTAAAGACATGGACTCAAAACTAAGTTGTCACATTGTTAAAGAAAATGACACACACGCACGCACACACACACACACACACACTCACGCACACGCACACGCGCGCGCGCACACGGGCGCGCGCACACACACGCGCGCGCACACACACAGTGAGGACCCACTTACTCCAAGAGTAAGTTTTTATAACTTACTCCACAATCATATTCTTCAAATTAAATTTAATCGAATGATTATAAGTAAAAATGTTAATTTAACCACTATATTAGATTCAATTTAAAAGTTATGATATGGAGTAAGTTAAAAAAACTTAGTCTTGGAGTAAGTTGATCTCCACTCGTATACATATTTTTATTATAATATTTTTATTGATATTCATAAATCAAAATATTAAATAACGAGAAAGAGAAGAAAAACGATGAAGAGAAAATTTTTTTATTAAACTTTATTTGATATGTCTATACATTAGAAAAAATAATATAATTTTATTATAATATTTTTTATCAATAAATTAAATATTAATATTATATTTATAAAATAAAATATTAAATAAAGAGAGATTAAAATTTGTATTATGATTTTTTTTTGTTGATAATTTGTGTTAAGGACAAAAAGTTCTCATGGTTTAACGAGGGACAAGAATTCAAGTTTTTGTCGTATCTCTTGCGATATATTTTATCCTGTCACATAATAAGTTTCTGTATTAAATAAGGCACAAAATAAGTTATCCTGTCTAATCTTTTAATTTTTTAGCAAATCAAACACATCTATAGAATATGTGAGTGAAATTAGAGAAAGAAGAAAATGTAGAAAGATGGTGTAAAAATGACGAGAAAAAATAATTAAAAAATATTGTAGTATGATAATCATGATTTCTTTTAAGATTCAAAATTTAACTTTTTATTTATTTATTTGTGACAATTTATTTATATTAATATATAAAATAAATAAATAAACAAAGGAGGTTAGTGGAATCAAACTCATATCAACCATTATATTTATTTAGTCCAATTCATCCAACTAACACTTAGATGACTTATTCCATCCATCCAACTTTTTTATTTTTAATTAAAATATATTTATTTTAGTTTAAATTATAATAAATTGTAAAATAATAATAATTAAAAAGTTAAAAGATAGTGCATTATCGGTGTAAGACAGTTTTACAAATGCAATTAATTAAAATATCTACAATTACCATGTAATATCAGTATTTTTAAAATAAAAATATATTTAATTCTGATACATGGTTGTGAGACAGTTTTACATATACAACAAATCAAAATGTCTATAATTATCATGTAATATTAATATTTTAAAATAAAAATATATTGCATTCTGATACATGATTGTGATTGATTGACAATGTAAAATATCAGCACATTTTATTTTTTCTCATAATGAAAACAATAAAAATAAAAATAAAAGATAAAAATGATGAGCTAAAAACTACTTTCTCTTATTCTAATTATAAGAGAAAATTGACATTTTTAGATTTATTGAATAATTACTATATATTCAATAAACTTACAAAATAAATTTTCTTTTATATAGAGGTGTTAATTTGATTAAATTCATTAGGAATCGAACCTGAGATCTTGAGAAGAGCGCACTCTCAATATCTAAACATCTACCACTAGACCAATCAATACACTCTCAACAAACACTTATAAGACTAAATTCGAACAAAATCAACCCGCTCCTCAATAGGTTGGATTGAGTTGGGTTTGTAGGTCTTCGCTAAATATAATTTTTCAATTATAAATAAAATATTAATTTAATAACATATTTATTTTACAAAAATATTTAAAAAAACCATAAAATCTTAGTATTAAATTTAAATAAAATTTATTGTTTAATACCTAAAAGCTCTTTTACGATTAAGATAAAGTCAGAAAAATATAATTTAAAACATAAGATATCTCTATTTGAATAAAGAAATTTGATCTCTCAAATATAATTTAAATTAAATTTTTATAATTAATAAAAATTATAATTATATTAAAAAAATACATTCAATATAAAAATTATGTTAGATAATTTATAAATAAAATAACATAAAAATACAGTGACGTATCAATAAGTTGAGTTTACGAGTTCGTGAATTAAAACTTCAAACTCATTACTCAAACAAAATACCAATGAATTTGAATGAGTTGGTTCAAATTAAACTCGTACGTGATTGAGTTGGATAAAAAAAGAGTCGAATTAAATTAAATAAATAGATTTGTGAATTGACTTCCTACCATAAACACCAATATTTTTATATATGAAATTAGAAGTAGTATAGCTTTAAAAATATTTTAAATAATATTTGACAAGGAAAAATGAATGAGGAACAAAAAGATGGGAAAATTCAACGTCAAACCCAATGAAAAGCACGCAGCATTATCTTTTTTTCTTTTAATTTCCACGTGCATCTAGTTCTCACTCTCTTTCCTATTCTGTTCTACAAGCACAGCACTTCCCTTTCTCTGTTTCAAGCTATCTATCGGACAAGAGAACACACACACTTAACCAGTAAGCCGTTTGTCACTATCTCTCTAGAAATCTTTTTAGTCTGATAGGTTCTTTTTCATCTTCTTGATTTTTTTTTGTTGAGAAATCTTATTTATATTTCTGATTTTGTAGAAAATTGCTGTAAATGGCGGAAGAGAAGTCAACCATTGCAAAAGATGTCACCGAAGTAAGTTTACTATATGTTCAATATTCTTAACTATACGTATTTGCATATGTTTTATTCTTTATGGAAAATTTATAATGTGTATAGTTAATTGGCAAAACTCCATTGGTATATCTCAACCATGTTGTGGATGGTTGTGTTGCACAAATTGCTGCAAAACTAGAAATGATGGAACCTTGCTCTAGTGTCAAAGACAGGTATATCTACATTTCTTCTTTCTTATATCGTCAACTTTACTACAAAAGTTTCCCTCTAAGATTCTTTCATAATTTCATGCAGGATAGGATATAGCATGATTGCAGATGCTGAAGAAAAAGGACTCATTACACCGCAAGAAGTTCGTTTTTGTTTTTCAATCATTCTTTCCTTCTTGATGTTTAATTAATGATAGTTGTTGATCATTGTTTAGAGTGTCCTCATTGAGCCAACCAGCGGAAACACCGGCATTGGTTTGGCATTCATGGCAGCTGCTAAGGGTTATAAACTTATCATAACCATGCCTGCTGCAATGAGTCTCGAGAGAAGAACCATTCTCCGCGCTTTTGGTGCTGAGTTAGTTCTTACGGATCCGGCTAAAGGTATGAACGGAGCTGTTCGGAAAGCCGAAGAGATACTAGCAAAGACTCCCAATGCTTACATTCTTCAGCAATTTGAAAATCCTGCAAACCCAAAGGTGTTGTTTGTTGTGTCAGTGACTCAGTGACAGTGTGCTGTTTTTACAGAATCTTTTGGTTGAAGTGAATTAACAAACTAACTCACTCTGAAACTACTTTTAGGTTCACTATGAAACCACTGGACCTGAGATCTGGAAAAGCTCTGGTGGGAAAGTTGATGCTCTTGTTTCTGGTATAGGGACCGGAGGTACCGTAACAGGTGCTGGGAGATATTTGAAAGAGCAGAACCCTGATATTAAGGTTAGCCTTTTGATTTACAAGTTCTTATTTTTCTAATATTCTCTTTGTTTTGCTTACAATTTTTTTTCCCAGCTATATGGTGTTGAACCACTTGAAAGTCCAGTATTGTCTGGAGGGAAACCAGGTGAAGATTTTCCTTACTACTATTCATTACTACTGCAAGAAAAGTTGTATTTTGTACTAACTTTTCATTGTTTATTGTACCTTGTTTTGTAATTATCAAATGAGTAGTCATTTCTATGCACCATTCCCTGACAAATGCATGATATTTTCCATGTACAAGGCCCTCATAAGATCCAAGGAATCGGCGCTGGTTTCATCCCCGGTGTTCTGGATATTGATTTACTAGATGCAGTAATCCAAGTAAGACATGAATCTTTTTATAGACACATCTTAGAAATATTAACATTAGTTACAAATTGATTACACTAGATGAAAGAATTAGTTATACTCTTAGTACTATTTCTACACCCTATCGCCATAGATAAATAACTGCTCTTATTTTTGTAGATATCTAGCGAAGAGGCTATTGAAACTGCTAAACTTCTTGCATTAAAAGAAGGTTTACTGGTACAGTATCACCTTTTGTTAATGAGCCTTCTTTCCATTTTCTAATGATATATATTGTTATTGATGAACTTGTTTTGCAGGTTGGGATATCATCAGGTGCAGCTGCAGCCGCTGCAATTCGGATTGCAAAGAAGCCTGAAAATGCTGGAAAACTCATTGTTGTAAGTCTGCTATCGGTTCATTTTTGTATTAATTAAAAGTTGTTTATATTAGTTATACATTAAGTATATACTGTGGCACTAAGTAACAAGCTCATTTGGTGCCTAAACAGGTTGTTTTCCCGAGCTTTGGAGAGCGTTATCTATCATCTGTGCTCTTTGAATCGGTGAAGCGAGAAGCACAGAACATGATCTTCGAGCATTGAACTTACATACAGATTTTAATGAATGTTTTGCTTCTCCGATTTGCTTTTCTCTTATTATCATCTTTGTAATTCAAATTCGTTAATGCAATAACATAAAAACTATATCAATTAATACTATTTCGTACTAGAAACTATAATTGTTCGTGTAGATCTTTAATACGGTGTTGCGAGCTGCTCTCATGCATTTGCATGGGATGGACTTGTAACGTTAACATACCAACGCATATATCACATTTTGAATGAAAGAGGAATAGAGGGAGTTATGTACTTGAATCATACTTTTTTTGTGTGTTCACACACACATATTCCATTGCAGAATAGAAAATGGAGGAGATTGTAGAAGTTGCGGTGGTACGAAGCTTCGAGAGCGATTCAGTGACACGACTTCTTGGACCGAAGGTTGCGATGGTGATGCATTATGATTCAGAGATGTTGATCTCAACTAGTGTTGCTAATCTCTGTTATAATGGACCTAGGGGTTGCTTATATGGTTAGCACTCCAACACTGATGTCAGTTTAGGATTCAAGATAATCGTCGTGCGAGTGGAGATTAAAGATTGTGTACCTGAAATTCTCTTGGATCTGTATTTATAGCTCGGGCTCAATGGAGCGGGCGAGATGAGTGAGCCTAGTCTTATTGGGTTTTTCGTCGATCCATAACAATTTCCCCAAGACTCATTGGCACTCTGGATGCCAGAGGAGCCTTTTAGAAGTTGTGATCGGCCTTCAGGAATAGTTGTCCATGCATTGACAGATATACATTACTTTATTTTTGCCAAAGAGTGATAAGGAACACGAGCATTAATTGCAGTTCCATCATCGAAACTTTTCACTGTTTTTCTCATGATGTGTGACCTGAAAAGGTAGAGAGTGGCGTGATGGTGCTTACTATGCATTTGAGTTAATTATGTTTTCAAGGTGAAATCTGACTGTTGGTTTATACTTGTCCTTACTTTCAATCAGATTCGTCCGATTGTATTCGCCTATATATGGGTAGAGGAAATTTAGATGAACTCTTACAGCCTTTTAGATTGAATTTCCTTTATTTCCTTTAAGTCTTTCCCTATTCTCTAAAAGCATTTTTCCTGGAGTAACCATCAACACGCATTTAAATCTTTAAAGCTTCAATCTTCGGTCTCCTACTTCGTTTTACTTTGAGGTAACTTCTTCTAACTCAAGGTTTTTTTTTCAAGCCTTTATTGTCTTTTTGTCAAAACGAGTGATAATCATATTAACATAGAGAGTAATTCATGAGGTAGCGTTTCTTCCTCTTCAAAAGGGGGAAAGAATATGAATCACATTTTCTTTCTTCTACCAAGGAAAATTTTGAATCGGAGATCATCTCTCTAATTGATGATTCTGAAATGGAAGGAGTATCCAGGGACTCATTTTCTAAAAGAACTTCATTCACTAATTATTCAGAAGTTCTACTTTCAGGGAAGGTCGGTGGGGTGAGGATCCTACTGAGAAATCGGTGCCTCCCACTGTCTTGACTAAGGTGGAAATAGGAGTTGTCTGATGAAAAAGTGAACGTGTCAATGACTTTGTTTGACTCTATTAAGGGGTGACTGATCGCGAGCCTAACGATGCTGGAATCACAAGTCATTTGGAGGACCGAGGAAATTCTAATACTGTATCTTGGATTAGACTCGACGATCACTTTAAAGTTGATGAACTGGCCCAAAAAGGAATTCTCTTGTTAAGCCGGATAACGTCAACAAATATCATTGGGTGGACACCAAAGTGACACAAACTCCTTCCACTATAAACAGTGTTGCGGCTATAACCGACGTGGATGTTATGGTCGTAACCCGTCAAATTTGTCAGTTCTTGCAATGAATCTGGTAAAGAGGATATGCAACTCCTTTGAGGGTTGTTCTATTCCTATGTATGAATGTCTCTTTACCAAGTTAGGAGTACGCTTTCCCTTTTCTTATATCAAGGTAGTTGTGCTTAACCGTCTGAGAATTTCCCCCTTGCAAGTTCATCATGGAGTTTAGGCTTACATGAAGGTGATCTAGCTATGCGTCAAGCATAAATTTTGAAAATCTTCTTTTGAGCTCTTTTTTAATCTCTTTTATGCATCTCGCACCTCTCGAGATGACGCCTGGGATCAAGGGTTGATCTTCCTTCGTCCCAAGGTTCATTCGTTTGACCCTTTTACCGATGATTGTGGTAATTTTCTTGAATCTTTCATGATGGTGAAACATATTACTCATGAGGATCACTTTGCACTATGCTCGTCCTAGGCTTCGATTGGATTTACTGGCTCTTGCAATACAGTTTTCTCAAATACTGGTCTTGAGTTCATTTCCGCTGACCCCTTTCTTCTTACCATACTGAACTAAGTCCTATATCCTCTGAGGAGGTAAAAACGAAGGAGGATATGTGTGCTTGATATCAAGGGCTCGGTTATGAAGAAGGATTTAGACCTTGCGAAGTGCTTCCTTCTCAGCAGAAAAAGAGACAAACTAATACTCGCGCACTTATCAATGCACACGATTGTAACACCCCGAATTTAATTAAATTATTTAATTGAATTTTGTTGCTTTTATTCAGTAATTTAAGCGATTTAGAATACTTTTAATTATTTATTTTGGCGATAGCATATGTTATATGAATATTTGACATTGTTATAATTTGTTGGAATTTGGTAGATTTTTATTTCATTTAAATAACAGAATAGTAATTAAATAATAATAATAATATAAGATAAAAATAGTGATTTGGGGCAGAACATAGAATTACTAGAAAAATAAGGGAAAGATGAGAAAGTGGTGATTAATTGAGGGGTAAAAGTGTGAAGAGGATAATTAATTGTAATTTAGGTCAAAATAAATAATAAAGGGAGAAGAGCCAAACCTGACAATACGTAAAATTGAGAAAAAGTGACAAATGTGAGAAGAGAAGAATAAGGGTTTGAGAGAAAAGGAGAAACCATAGTCAAAGCTTGGAGTTTTTTTGCTGGAAATTGAATTAGGGGGACTACTTTAATATAGGTGTATTGCATGAAGGGTAGAGAGGGATTATTACCTCCTCTGCATTTTTATTCACCATTGTTGTGTTTTATGAATTCTTGAATATGATTATGTATAATCCATGATAATTTCCATGTTTGGTGTGTAAATTCTTTCTTTGAGTATTACTAAAATTTGTGTATGTATAATGAGTATGATTCTGAATGTTATCTCTATCGTTGTTGCGTAATTGATTTATGAACATATTCTTTAATTCATAAATAATATGTGAAATTGGATGTTAATTGATGGGTATGTGGCGATATGATCCCTATATAATATATATCTATTGTTAATTGAATGAGCTCCCATGGTGAAAATGTAGAAACCGCCTTCTGCATCTGGTTTGGCTAATGGTCACCAGCAAGGTGACAGGGAGACATTGAAGGTAGAGAAAAACACAAGAAATGGGGTTTGAATTGAGGTTTTTTAAAACTTTTCGACAAAAAGGCTTAACAAAAACAACAATATATACAAACAAAGAAAGAGAGTGTCATGTTTGGTTTATACAAGTTCACATATAACGAGGTTACGTCTTGTCCACCCAACCAAGGTGATTTCGCCTTCAATAAAGACTTAATCCACTAATCTCGAAAGATTACAAAAGTTCGTACAAGTGTTAGAAAACACCTTAGTCCTCTCAAGTATACAGAATAACACTTAGTCACTTGAGGAAAAAATAATTTCAAAGAGATTACAATAGAAATTATTTACAATAGTGCTTCTGATAAGCGAATGAAACAAAATAAAGAACAATTTTTATACACAAATATGAGCAATAACTCTTTGTGTTTGAGAATACTCTCTTGATAGAATTTTGAGACTTTTCGTTTTCACTCTTGCAATGTTGTTCGTTATTTTTGCAATGAAGTAGTGACTCCTTTATATAGGCTCAATTGTAGAACGTTAGAGGGTAGAAATATCATTATCAGTGCCAGCTGCCATAACGGTAAACCAAAGATCATGGGAGATAGGAATAGGAAAGTCTTACAAACATTCCTTAACAATTTTGGCGCACAATCAATTTTTACCAATTTGGGATTGTACTATTGTATGAATTCTTTCAGTGCAGGTTTTGTCTTGATCTTATCTTCTGATGAAATTCTTCTGATATGAAGTGATGATGAGTTTAGAAGATAAATGTAGCGAGAAATATCAGAGTCTTCAGAGTCAGAAGCTGGCTTCACTTAAGTCTTCTTAGAGTGATTCAGTCAGAACCAACATCTTCATTTTCAGCTGAGAGTGAACAAGTCTTCAGAACTCAGAACCTTGACTTCAGAGCTAGAAGAAAAACTTATCCAAGAAGCACACAATTTTCCTTATCCAGTGACATTTAGCATTCATCATAACTGCTGATGTTTCTCCAGATGTGGTTGAAGTATTTTCTTAAGGCGTACCAGAATTGATTATGATGATATTTCTAGAGAGCTACCCATAATCAAATTAAACTTTATATCTGTGTCGCTACTCGAAAAATGCATCGCGCAACGACGGGGAGGCGAACAGAAAAGGAGAGAAGAGTCGCCACCGAACTTTATTTATCCCATGAGGGGGAAGGAAAATATCGAGAAAACCTTAAGAAAAGAATGGATAAGATGGTCTCGCAACCAAGAACAGGTTCGGAAGCCGGTTATGCAAGGGGAAGGTATTAGCACCCCTCGCATCCATCGTACTCGATGGGAACCTTTTGTTTGTCGATGTGTGAATTTATCTGCTTAAATATTATGCTATAAAAGTTGTTCCAAAAGATAGAGAGAAGGGTTTGAAACAGGGAAAGAGAAGTAACGAGGGAAAGAAAGGACTCGATAGGACTTCGCGGTCCTAGGCCTACGTATTCTCAATAGACATGAGAAAGTCAGAGTCGACGTAGTTCGGGGAACTACAGATATAGGGGGGAATGTGCTCGGCAAGGATTGTGGCCCTTGTGCCTACGTATCTTTACTTGAACGAAGTAAAGAATCAGAGCAGCCGTAGTTCGGCCTA